CGTGGTCCCTGTGCTTTGCTTAGCTTAGCTTGTTCTAAGTAGGTGCTTTAGACCACTGAGCCATCTCACCAGCCCGAGGCTGTGTTTCTTGTGTTCCGTATCTTGTGTTATTTTTCCTTCCCAGGCCTCTTTCTCCTCCCACAAGGAATCCAACTGAGAACTTCCTATTATACAATCCCAGAAGTCAGTCATGGTGGCACTGCCTGTAATCCCAGCACTCAGGAGGTTGAGGCAGGAGGATGCACGGGAGTTCAAGGCCAGCATGGGTTAAATAATTCAAGAGAACTACTTAGAGAAAGCCTGTCTCAAAAACAAAACAAAACAAAATAAAAAAGCCATGGTATTATCTTGAGCAGGATGGGCAGTGACTGGGATGGGAAGCAGAATGAGGCAGTCAGAGAGCAGGTCTCACTGCACACCTGCACCGCCTCATGGCTGCAGTAGCAAGAAGCTGGCTTCAGCCTCCAAAAAAGAAGGAACAGATTGGGCCAGGGCTAATGGGTGGAGAGGTCAGCCTGTACCTTCCACATGAAGGCCTCATCTGGGTCCCACACTGCAGCGATTTCTATTGGCATTTTACTGTTATAATTTCATGTCTTTAGGTCTTCGTTTCAGCAAACTAAGACCTTCGTTGGAGGTGTAAGTTATTGTTTTAAAAACCAAGACAGCATCTTGGCTGTCTACAGCCTGTTTATTATGTCATACTAAGAGGGAGAAACATAAGCCCTCCCTATTAGGGATATATTCTTCCCATTGGGTAAAAGAGGTGGAACTGGGGAAATAGGTGGTGCTTCAGCTGGGTGGGGAAATGGGATGGGTGGTTATTAGGGAACACTTCCGTAAAGAATGCTCTGGAGTCTGGAGGGCCCCTTGATGGAAGGAGAAATTGCCACAACTCTGTCCCTTCATAGGTGAAACCACATCTGAAAGCAAGGTAGCAAACTACCTACTTTTGCTGACTCTCATGGTATTTACCCAGGAGCCTTTCTCATCACCCTGTAGGGGAGAGGGAGAGGGAGAGATGGTGGTAATTCTCCACATACTCATTTAGTGCCTGAGACATTAGACACCCAGGTTACTTTTGAAACCTCCCAGCCACTGTGGGCTAGGCCCCTGCTGGGTTCAGTTCATTCAGGCACAACTTAGGACATATCCTGATTCTTCCCTACTCAGGGCCTTTATCTATACTATGGAACTTCCACAACCATTCTGAACCCCAAATGGAATCCTAATCCTGACCATTGATGATTCTGCCCAGCCCACACTTCCTCCAGGCATCTCATAGATCTCATAGAAGCCAGACAAGGACCCCTGTTCAGGGGCAGAGACACTAAGTCTAAATTATTTTTTTTTAAATTTTATTTATTTGTGTGTGTGTGTGTGTGTGTGTGTGTGTGGCCAGCTCAACCCACCAGGGGGCGGGGCTGGCTGGCATGTGGTGCTGGAGGATTGAACCGCAGTCCCTGTGCTTTGTTAAGCTTGTTTTAAGTAGGTGCTTTAAACCAC